ATGAACTTCCTTGACCATGCTGTAGGTCATGTAACTGTTTGTTACATGCAATATGCTTTGCGGACAGAGGTTGCTCTCCGGTTTTGTGATGAAACAAAGGTGTGGTTGAATTTATTCTGCCACTGTGTCTTCTAATTGTCTCGGCTTTAGGCATATATATCACAGCTGCAAGGCATATGAACGAACAGGTTATAGAGAAAACAACGCAATGATTCACTTTTTTCTGGCTTTTTTTTTCTGGCTTGATTTTACCCACGCACCGCTACTACAACATTGCACAGGCCACAATCAACAGCCTGATCAACTCTATGCAAAGGAGATGTGTCTCGCTGCATGAGGCAAATAGTGGTCACACCAGATACTGACTGGTTTTCTGATCCACGCCCCTACCTTTTTTTAAAGGGATCTGTGACCAACAGATTCATATCTGTAATCCCACTCATGTGAAATCCATAGATTAGGGCCTAATGAATTCATTTCAATTGACTGATTGCCTTATATGAACTGTAAAATCTTTGAAATTGTTGCATGTTGCGTTTATATTGTTGTTCACTGTATATTAGATTACATTGGTAGGGAATGTGGCATATTATTTTTATAAATGTGGTCCTCTGTAGCTCAGCTGGTAGAGCATGGCGCTTGTAACGCTAAGGTAGTGGGTTCGATCCCCGGGACCACCCATACACAAAAAACGAATAATGTATGCACGCATGACTGTAAGTCGCTTTGGATAAAAGCGTCTGCTAAATGGCATATTATTATTATTATTATTATAAAAATAGTCTATGCATATTATACATTTAATAGGCTTATCATCAACCATGTTTTAAACATGTTGAACTAGGCCTACTTCAAATCCTTTTAGAAAAAACGTTTGAAAATAAAAAAGAAATTCATTGGTTGCTGAGTGCAACACGTGCTCTCCATTTGCTGGCTACATGTGTATTATGCTATTTCTACTCAGCTTGTAAACTTTATTTTATTTTTTATTACAAGAAACAGTGAATACTGTGTGTGTGTGTAATCTGAACACACACAGTGCCACCCCTGTCACGTTAATCACTTTAATGTCACTCTTATGCTGACCCTTGATGCCCTTATCCTGTCATTTGTCACGGTAACATCAAATGCACAGGATGCATAAACAACAGTTATTAGTTTCCTTGACAGAGTACAGTTTTAGAGGAGTCTTTATGTTGAGGATATCCAGATGCTTCTCAGAATATTGCCCCTCTGTTGGCTACTTTGTTCTATCAGCAATATACTATGTATAAAAAGCAGCACTCTGTTCTGGCCCCAGCTTTCTGTCAATGTTAAGTGCAGCAAGGTGGCAAAAGTTCCTTCCTGTCCAATACGCAACCCACAGCTCAGGGTAATTGAAACGGTTAGTCATTGCAATGGCTAAGACTACCACATCTGTGTGGACAGTCCTGATCAGCGCACTTGAACTACTCCTGTTTCATTGCATCCTCGACATGTAGCATGACCTGTGTATCCACTTACATTTTAGTAATTTAGCAGACGCTGTTATCCAGAGCGACTTACAGGAGCAATTAGGGTTAAGTGCCATGCTCAAGGGGCACATCAACAGATTTTTGACCTAGTTTGCTCAGGGATTCGAAACCAGCGACCTTTTGGTTACTGGCTGAGAGAATTTGTTCTCCTCCTGCTGCTGAGAACTATTTTTGTCCCTCATACATGAGTAATAAAGGCCCAGTGCATAATTTTTTTTTCAGAAATATTTGTAATTCTGATTTATCAGGGGGTGCTGCAGCACGCTCAGACATGCCTTAGCTGTGTGTGAATATCCGGTGCCTCTATCACAAAAGAAACAGTAAGTCTGCAAGTTATTGTATTTCAAACTCATTCAGGTTTCCGAATCATAGAACCAATGTAGAGCTACTACTGGCTGCTAATCTCTAAGGCTTCGTGTGGACAGATTAATAGAGAGGCGATGAACTCCCAGCCTGGATGGGTTTTCAGACGAACAGGCATGAGTCAATGACTTTGCAAACCTCTTATGATGTATTAAATAGTAGAAAGTAGCATACACAGTACTATGTAGCCTACTTCTCTGTTGGACTACTGTTAATGGGATCTGGACACCAGGGGGAAATTGTGTGTAGATTTTCAATTGGCACATCCACAGCTGGAATGAGTCACCACAGCATGCTGATCCATGTTGATCCATGGATGCAGAGAGTCAGTGATTTAGTTCTTCAGTTACACTTAAGCATTTACTATTGTTCAAATTTAACAGTGGACCCCTGTTAGCATGCTTTAAATAGCAAGCCTAAATCAGTGTCCATTGACTTCTTTCTAGATTTCTATAAGATGGTGTAAATTTGTATTTTGGGTGAACTTGAACTACACCTCACAATCTAAGGCTGAACATTTTACAGAGTGATTGTAAGATTCAATTAAACAAAAATCACTCAATTGAACTAAATAGTTGTATTAATCCCCATATAATAGTATACAGTAATTACAAAGTGCACCATCCTTGAATTGCCCCAGTGTTAACCCAGTATCATTAACACCAACTACATCTACAAGCCCCATTCCACACTATCACAGACTATGCATACACAACATCTCATCACCAAAATATGATAGGATAGAAGTCTTTGTATGTCCAGTCTGTAGAAGATCCCTGTTCTCATGTTAATTAGCAGAATATAGTCATTACAGCCTCATTAGTCAGTTCATACAGGAAGTCCTGGTAACATTTACATAAGGTGTCTTGCTTTAGGTAAAACACTGGGCTAGAAATATGCACAAACAAACTTATCAAGTAATTAATGTAGGGTCATGTGCTATATTTCACATCCTGCATTCATATGACCTGAATTGTTGACATACTATAAGGGTTTCTATTGTACCTCATGATGAATTGTGTTTGATAGCAAGGATTAATTCATCCAAATACAGCAGGTGCCTGAAAGAAAGCACCTCATTTGAATGGGATTTTAAATATGTTATTGTGCAGCTTAGTATAGGTGTTTTACCATTGTCATAACCTGAAGCAGTACCTACTGTAAAATGTTATGCTGATGATATAATGACTGTTGTTATACAAATTGTGTAATTGAAAAGTAGAACACCCAGAGACGGGGTAGGCGTATGTGTTTAAGCAGAGAGACAAAGGTCTTTATAATTCTATACATAGCATTAGCTAGTTATTATTCTGCACTCTTTGCGTCATTCCAACCCCCCACCAAATCCCCTCTTCCACACCCACCTCCCCTGCATCCCGTCCTTTAGTTTTTGGGGCTATGAAGCTACTCATGAAGTCATTTTTGCCATTTCTGTCTCCTTTATTTTCTTCCATAAATCATTATTCCCAAATAATATGCTACTTTATCCTCTCTTCAACACTTAAAAATGTTCTTTGCTCTTTTGTTTTTCTGTGCATTTTGGTTATTTTTGTAACGAGATGCCAACAAGCATTACTGTATAGTGTACTTGGAAGCTGATAGACAGCCAAACAGATGAATGAACAAAAATCTGCCTTTATTCCATTGAGGCGGAAATATAGTTCCGAAATAATATTTGTCCAACTGAGTCACTCCTGGAAAGAAAGAGAGCTAGGGGGAAAGATTAAACACGGGGTAGTGGAGAAACCGAGTACACAAAACAGTGTGAGAGCAATACCAAACTATTGGAGAACAAAAATGTATTGTAAATAGTAGTAAAAGTGAATGGTTCATTAAATTATAAATCATGATATTCTACAATAGCAACTAAAATCCTGTATGCAACAAGCTGCTGTGTATGTTAATTATTAAAGCAATTGATTAATTTTTCAGGGTTACCAAACTGTGCCAGGGGACCGGGTTAATGGGGGTGCAAGATTTGGTCGGAGATAGAGACAGACAGACAGCAGGGAGAGGGCTGCATGGACAACAACACACCATCCACCACACATGTTCAAGAATACACATACAGTAAATGGGCCATATTGAAGCCTGCGGCTCATGTCCCCTGCTGCTGGAGCCCAACGTTTTCTAAAAAGAAAGAAAGAGGGGGGAGGCAGAGGAAGCTGAGAGAGAGAAAAAGAGAGGGGGGGGGGGGGGCAGCTTTGATGAAAATTACAATGTGTAAATCAGTGGAGGCTCCTCAGAGGAGAAAGGGGAGGACCATCCTACTCAGAGAATTTCATAAAAATAAAAATTGTGAAACATTTAAAAAAGTTATCCTTTGTAAATAAAACTATACTAAATATATTCACTTCACCATATAACTGATTAAAACACACAGTTTTGCAATGAAGGTCTCTAGTAGCCTCAACAGCATTCTGTAGGGAAGCACCATGGTGTAGTCGAAGGACAGCTATTTTCCGTCCTCCTCTGGGTACATTGACTTTAATACAAAACCTAGGTGGCTCATGGTTCTCACCCCCTTCCATAAACGTACACAGTAATTATGACGACTTCAGGAGGACGTCCTCCAACCTATCAGAGCTCTTGCAGCATCAACTGACATTTTGTCAATCCAGTCAAAGGATCAGAGAATGAATCTAATACTGAAAGCATAAGATACAGCTAGCTAGCACTGCAGTGCATAAAATGTGGTGAGTAGTTGACTCAACGAGAGAGAAAGAAAATAGTTGAACAGTTTGAACAAATTAATTTCTTCAAAAAGTAAGGAGAAGCAGCAGAGAGAGAGAGATTTCTCCCCACTCTGCTGACAAATATTTTTTGAGTGCCCTTTTATTGTCCCCAGCACAAGGTGCACCTGTGTAATGATCATGTTGTTTAATCAGCTTCTTCATATGCCACACCTGTCAGGTGGATGGATTATCTGTGCAAAGGAGAAATGCTCACTAACAGGGATTTAAAATAATTTGTGCACAACATTAGAGAGTAATAAGCGTTTTGTGCATATGGAACATTTCTGGGATTCTTTATTTCAGCTCATGAAACCAACACTTTACATGTTGCGTTTATGTTTTTGTTCAGTATATATCTGGCATGGCTCAAGGGAAAACAACGTTCACTTTCACTTCAGAAGTGCTCAAATTTGATTGAGTGGAGGAGGAGAATAAGGGCTCATTGATTACTGAGCCGTGAGCTCTTGAACGGGACGATATTATTCTCCGCAGGGCAGAAAGTGTTCTTGAAAAAGTTTTCTCTTGAAAGCATGGCCAAATATAAGCCATGGCGGGTTGGTTGCTGTCTCTGTATCGTATTATTAGGTTCTATAATATCCATCGGTCTCTGCATACTAGCCTTCGGCGTATTTATCCACAGAAGATGCTCCGAGGACACGTTCAAGCACGCTGCGGTTTCTGCGGACTCGAAACTTTGCTCGGACATTGGCAGGTAAAGTAGAATATGGTCGCCTAGATCATACAGCTAGTTATAATAAATTATCATTTATTTAAAACATGTTATCTAAAGTTGTACTGCTCTAATGGGCTACCAATGATACATGGATTTGGTAGTCTGGTTAAACCGGTGTTGTTTGATGTTAATTTACCAAAATGGCCAAGTTCAACTGGGTTCAAGCTGCGTGCCATATCATGGACAATATAATTGTCATTTTAGTAGGGCAAGAACGCTCTTTACTGCAGTGATTACATAGTGTAGGCTATTCATTTTCAACTGATAGCCAAGGTGCAGTTAGGTATAAGCTGTTGGTAGCATAGACTACTAAATAGTAAGCAGTTTAAGAGATTTGAGGGGCTATCATGGAGATTATACAGAACTATTCATTGTATTGAACCCAAGTGACTTGATTCAACTGTGACTGATCAGATCTATAGCTTTACTTTTATTTTTTAAATGAAGTGTGCCAGCCAAGGGCAATGTCTGTAAATTCAGCACATTTACGCCTACAATAAGCATTTGTTATATTTTTTTATCAGTGACTTTTCCCATGTATTTTAAGCACATTCTGACACTTTTGCATATACTCAGTTGGTTTGGCCTTTCCATTCCTTTGATATAACCCCTAGCTTAGCATCAACGTTGTGTTAATGTGAGGGCTACTGTACCATGACCCTAAAATAGGTATAATTAAATCAAGCATGGCCAATAGTCAGCTACCCCAGCAAAAACATGTACCTCAACAGAAACTCTTCAGCTGAGGAGATCAGCTTGCTTCTCTGTGTTATAGGTCATACCATTTCCCCTATCGCCTGCCAAGAGTTTCCACTCATGAGCAATGCATTTACTTGTTCAGTCGTGTGAAGTCATGTGAAAATCTCATAATTCTTTTGCAATAAATGAGGCATGAAGACACTCTACACTCTAAAAAAGGGTTCTTCAATTGTTCCCATTCGAGAACCTTTCATGGTTCCAGATAGAACCCTTTGTGGAAAGGGTTCTACATAGAACCCAAAAGGGTTCTACCTGGAACCAAAAAGGGTTCTTCAAAGTGTTCTCCTATGGTGACAGCCGAAGAACCCTTTTAGGTTCTAGATAGCACCTTTTATTCTGTTCAAATATTTTTTATTGAACACACACAAGAATGGTGTATAGGTATGAAAGACATGTGTACAGTTCTTATCTAAACATAAGAGAACAGACATGAACAACAAGACCCAGAGTTCTGGACACAAAACAAATATTACAAAACACGACATACAGAACAGGGACAGGTAGAAAGAAAAAGGGTAGATGTAACCCCCCCACTTATACCCCCCTTTATCCCCCCCCTATTCCACCCTATTCCCCTCCCGACTGCTCGAGTGTCGGGGCCAGCACACGCTGCCCAAAGGTATATATAAATATGACAATTGAGAGTGCGTTAAAAGTACAAATTCACAGCACCGACTGGTCCAGGTAAGAGAGGAAAGGCTGCCAGATTTGATCAAATGTTGATAATTTATTGTTCAGAATATATCTAATTCTTTCTAAGTGTACAGTTTTTGCCACTTCGCTGAGCCATAATTTGGTAGAGGGCGCTTCCCTCCTTTTCCAAAACAACAAGATTCATTTTTTTGCCGAGATGAGACTGTAAGAGATTAGTTGTTTTTGGGAGTTGGTTAATCCGTTTAGGGAGTCGGACACTCCCAGGATTATCAGAAGCGGGTCTGGGTCTATTGAAGTCTCCAGAACTTCAGAGAGGACCCCAAATATTCCACACCAATAACCATACAGACTAGAGCATAGGGCAAAGCAGTGGAGTAGTGTACCCTGCTCAGCCTGACATTTATCACACATAGGGGATGTATCAGGAAATATCCTATGCAGTTTAGTTTTGGAATAGTGCAATCTGTGTAATACCTTAAATTGTATGAGACGATGTCTGGAGTTAATGGAGCAGGTGTGGATATACTCCAAGCTATCCTCCCAGTCTGCCACCGAAATATCAGTCCCTAGTTCTTCCTCCCATTTTGCCTTAATGGCATCTGTAGAGGGGATAGCACCTTTTATTCTAAGAGTGTAGATGTCCAGATGACCCAACATGCATGCACCACCTGACTGGAGGAGAGAGGATGTAAGCATAATTAAAGTTGGACCTACTTTTATGTGGTGGGACATTTCCGCAGGGTGTACAAACTAAACAAGCTTTGTGTTGACACCATGGCCTCTCAGATCCCACTACTGTCTCCTCTGTTGTTGTTTAACAAAGAGAGGGAAGGAGAAAGGACAAGGCTTTTAATACTTACATTTACATTTTAGTCATTTAGCAGACGCTCTTATCCAGAGCGACTTACAGTTAGTGAATACATATTTTTTTTTTTTTTTTTTATACTGGCCCCCCGTGGGAATCGAACCCACAACCCTGGCGTTGCAAACGCCATGCTCTATCAACTGAGCTACATCCCTGCCGGCCATTCCCTCCCCTACCCTGGATGACGCTGGGCCAATTGTGCGCCGCCCATGAGTCTCCCGGTCGTGGCCGGCTGCGACAGAGCCTGGATACGAACCAGGATCTCTAGTGGCACAGTTAGCACTGCGATGCAGTGCCTTAGACCACTGCGCCACTATTTTTTGACCCTATCCTTGGAAAGACCTTTATTAGCACTTGAAGGGAAGTTATTATTTTGGGATTGTGTATAGTAGGCAGAATCTACCGCACATCCAGAGCTGATAGGTGAAGGTGCTGGAGGCAAAAGGCTAAACTGGCGAAATAGGAAGAAGTCTCTGCACACTTCCATTCAGATACGCATTTCTTTAATTGTAGCTGAGCTTTCGCTTTTCTACACCGATGATCATACACAATTATTGCCTGATGATCTTCTGAACTTCCCAATACCTTTCTGATGCATTTTAATCACTTCAAACCATACAGTGCCTTACAAAAGTATTCAGCCCCCTTTGTGTTTTTCCTGTTTTGTTGCATTACAACCTTTAATTTAAATTGATTTTTATTTGGATTTCATGTAATGGACATACACAAAATAGTCCAAATTGGTGAAGTGAAATGAAAAAAATAACTTGTTTCAAAAAATTCTAATAAATAAATAACGGAAAAGTGGTGCATGCATATGTATTCACCCCCTTTGCTATGAAGCCCCTAAATAAGATCTGGTGCAACCAATTACCTTCAGAAGTCACATAATTATTTAAATAAAGTCCACCTGTCTGCAACACCACTAAGCAAGGGGCACCACCAAGCAAGCGGCACCATGAAGACCAAGGAGCTCTCCAAACAGGTCAGGGACAAAGTTGTGGAGAAGTACACATCAGGGTTGGGTTATAAAAAAATATCCAACACTTTGAACATCCCACGGAGCACCATTAAATCCATTAATAATAAATGGAAAGAATATGGCACCACAACGGACCAGACAAGGAGGGCATTAATCAGAGAGGCAACAAAGACAACAAAGATAACCCTGAAGGAGCTGCAAAGCTCCACAGCGGAGATTGGAGTATCTGTCCATAGGACTACTTTAAGCCGTACACTCCACAGAGCTGGGCTTTACGGAAGAGTGGCCAGAAAAAAAAGTTATTGCTTAAAGAAAATAATAAGCAAACACGTTTGGTGTTCGCCAAAAGGCATGTGGGAGACTCCCCAAAAATATGGAAGAAGCTACTCTGGTCAGATGAGACTAAAATTGAGCTTTTTTGCCATCAAGGAAAACTCTATGTCTGGCGCAAACGCAACACTTCTCATCACGCCGAGAACACCATCCCCACAGTGAAGCATGGTGGTGGCAGCATCATACTGTGGGGATGTTTTTCATCGGCAGGGACTGGGAAACAGGTCAGAATTGAAGGAATGATGGATGGTGTTAAATACAGGGAAATTCTTGAGGGAAACCTGTTTCAGTCTTCCAGAGATTTGAGACCGGGACGGAGGTTCACCTTCCAGCAGGACAATGACCCTAAGCATACTGCTAAAGCAACAGTCAAGTGGTTTAAGGGGAAACATTTAAATGTCTTGGAATGGCCTAGTCAAAGCCCAGACCTCAATTCAATTGAGAATCTGTGGTATGACTTAAAGATTGCTGTACACCAGCGGAACCCATCCAACCTGAAGGAGCTGGAGCAGTTTTACCTTGAAGAATGGGCAAAAACCCCAGTAGCTAGATGTGCCAAGCTTATAGAGACATACCCCAAAAGACTTGCAGCTGTAATTGTTGCAAAAGGTGGCTCTACAAAGTATTGACTGGGGGGGTGAATAGTTATGCACGCTAAAGTCTTCTGTTTTTTTGTTTTATTTCTTGTTTGTTTCACAATAAAAAATATTTTGTATTTTCAAAGTGGTAGGCATGTTGTGTAAATCAAATTATACAAACCCCCCAAAAATCTATTTTAATTCCAGGTTGTAAGGCAACAAAATAGGAAAAATGCCAAGGGGTGTTAATACTTTCACAAGCCACTGTACTTACATTTACATTTTACTTCCTTCAGCTTGAAATACTTTCAAAGTACTGTCAGGGACCCAAATAAAAAAGTAAACATTGGCTGTTGATTACATTAAGTTTTTTACATGGTTGGGTCGCAAAACATTTTTTTATATCCAAATGGGGTCAAGGGCCAACAAAAAAGTTTGGGAACCCCTGCTGTATTGTGGGCTGTGTTTCCAGAGATATACTGCTACAAGGAGGATCGGCAGTAGATGGCGCCATTGCAGCTCTGTTGTGCACCTCACTGGTCAACCCTCAGAGCATGGGCCTGGGAGGAGGCTCCATATTCACTGTTAGGGACAAAACTGGTGAGTCTGTTCTTTACTGATCTTTGCATTTGTGGTACTTTACTGTGGGGTTTACCCAATAAGGTTTGTTGTGGAATTGTATAACCTCTGCATTTCTTTATCTATCTATTCTCAGGCAAGGTGAAAACCTTCAGTTCGAGAGAAACTGTCCCACAGTCATTCAAAGCTGATCTGCTGAAGGGCTGTCCCACATCTGTCACATTTATCACAGGTAGGTAGACCTGCCAATAAATAAATGAATGAATGGATGGATGGATCAATACACAGTATGAATGTGTATACATTGCATGACAACAGTTAACTGATTTTTACTTTTAAATTCAAATAACTCCCAGACCAGTAAAGGAGTAATGCATTTTAGCCATTCTAACATCAAATGTGAGCAAACTACAACACCATTTCTATACCCCTTCCATGTCTAGTCTTGCTCTCTGTCCTGGAATGTGGCAGGATGTCACACCTCTCTTTTTGCTTGTGTGTTAGGGCTCAGACACTCCAATTGCGTTTGCTGACCGGGAGTACTTAGCACCTCTGAACAGAGTGCCAGCGGTCATTTGTTTACCGAGTGTGCACAGATTTTACATCAAAAAACAAACAAAAAAATTGTCATTTAGCAGACGCTCTTATCCAGAGCGACTTACAGTTAGTGAGTGCATACATTTTTATACTGGCCCCCCGTGGGAATCGAACCCACAACCCTGGCGTTGCAAGCGCAATGCTCTACCAACTGAGCTACACGGGGTAGCATCGTGTGAAAATGTCGGCAGTAAGACGTTTACAGCGGGTGGTTCCTAAAACACAGCGCGCTGAACGATCAGCAGACAAACACTAAATCCACATTCAGTGCGGTGTGTGCAAGCTTTAACATCTCTTTTTGCTTGTGTGGACCCTGGCAGGTAGTCAGTGGATTGGCGTTCCTGGAGAGTTGCGTGGGTATGAGATGGTTCACAGACTGTATGGGAAGCTGCCCTGGGCCAAGCTGTTTGAGCCCACCATTAGACTGGCCAGAGAGGGATTCCCTCTGCCACCCTTCCTGGGATACCTCCTTAACATCACACTCATAGGAGACCGGGTGAAAGAAACATCACTCTGGTAGTAAGACATCTCACACTTACAGACAGGAACTCAAATATGTACATTTGTTTTCATTCTAACCATACTCTAAGGACTCTGGTGTTAAATGAAGTCATTGAGGATTGCACTTGTTTCGATTGATTGTAATGGTGTATGTGTTGAAATTGTAGTATTGTACCTTGTAGTTTTTTTCTTGTTTAATTTGGAATGTAAATTTGATTGATTGTGAAAATGTTTGTATTCAGGGCACCATTATAAATGAGACCTTGGTCTCAATTGGGCTCCATTGAATAAATACAAGTAAGATACGCTTAAATTGCATTTATCCAAATGTCAGGTCAATAAAGTAGTTTCATAGTGCATAAAGTACATGTATCTGAGGACTTTTCAGTCAGAAAAGTCCAGATATCCAGTCCTATTACCCTAGCAATGAAGCTAATAAACTTGTTTAGAGTTTGACACCTTCACTGTAGTCTTGATCTGTGGGCTCAGACCAAGTTCTCATCCGTATGGTTATGCGGTACTATACACAGACAGATTGCAGAGGCTTTCCTGAGTACAGACTGTAGACCAGTGGAGGTTGCTGAGGGGAGGACGGCTCATAATAATGGCGGGAACGGAGCAAATGGAATGGCATCAAACACCTGGAAACCATGTGTTTGATGTATTTGATACCATTCCACTTATTCCCCTCCCCAATTAAGGTGCCACCAACCTCCTGTGCTGCAGACACAGACAGACTGCAGAGGCTTTCCTGAATACAAACTGCAGATACAGACAGACTGCAGAGGCGTTTCCTCGTCTCGGCTCCTCTCCTCTCCTCTTCCTTTTACAGAACAGACGTGTGAGCAGTAGCACAGGAGCTGTGTGGGGAATGTGCCCTTGGCACCCCAGCAGATGGAGAGGGGGATTCACATATACTCAGGGATAATATGAGAATGGAGATATTAATGAAATTACAGAGATCTAATGTTTGACAGTTGCAAATATTCTGTTCTATCACTGTAATCCAATAAAGTCTCATAACATCCGGATACCACTGTATAATAATGCATGTTTATGTTTGTTCTCTGGTCTTTTCTCTGTTTATGGTTGGTATGGTATATTAAAGGCATTCCCCTCTTCCAGTGAGGTGTTCTGCCACAAGAACAAGACGGTGCTGGGCATAGGAGACACATTGAAGTTCCCTAAACTGGCGGAAACCATGGAAACCATTGCAGAACAAGGGGCAGATGCCTTTTACACTGGCCAAATTGGACTTGACTTGATCCAAGACGTAAAAGCAGCAGGTGGGCGAGATTTATGTCTAAATGAGAAAGTGCGAGAGAGAGAGCGAGAGAGGGAGGGAGGGAGAGAAAGGGGGAGAAATGTAGAGGGAAAAGCAGTATCCAAAAAAACATTTTCATGAAAACTCCAGATTGTTATATTTTCTTGTCCGTGCAAGGATTGCTAACATGGATGGACATACTTTGCTCCTCATTATATTTTAGGTGGGACCCTTACCATGAAGGATCTGAAGTCATTCCGAGTCAGAGTGGAGGATGCCTGGACTGTTCCTCTGGGAGATTACCAGATGCACATCCCTCCACCTCCTGCAGGGGGAGCCATGCTCGCCTTCATCCTCAACCTCGTTAAAGGTACCTAATGTGGTAGAACACTTTCACAAATCTTTCAACTCAAGTCAGGCAACAGCTACAGCTATATCCAGAATTGTGAAATATTGCTTTGTAACCATTATTTTTAAAGTGTGTTGATGGTGTGGCATTGTGGTAGCTCACAATCATTGAACAGTTCCAAAATGTACCTTCACCAGGTAGTAGAGATTTGACTGGCTGTTTGTGACCTTTCCCAGGGTTCCATTTCACCCCCAGGTCGATGGAGGGGGACCAGAAGGTCCTGACCTATCACCACTACATAGAGGCAGCTAAATTTGCTAACGGACAGAGGAGGAGCATTCACGATCCTGTATTCAACACTAAAAAAGTAAGGATCTAAGAGAACTGCCTCTCTATAAGTGTACTCTGTACTTTTACACACTAATATGTGAAATCATAATTTTTTTTAATGTAGGATGCATCGTATATGGTGGACTCTGACTTTGCTGATCAGATCAGGCTATTGATCAGTGAAGACCGTACCTACAACGACTCCTACTACAACATAACACCTTCCCCTGATCGCTTTGGGACCACACACGTGTCAGTCCTGGCTGAAGATGAATCTGCAGTCTCTGTCACAAGCACCATCAACCAAATGTGAGCCTCTACCCTCACTGAGATAGAGAACATTGCAGAACAGTACATCCCTCTAAATAGAACACTGTCTACTGTATTAGAACACAATCTCCTTCTAAATAGTAATATAACCGATGTCTCGACGGAAAATAAACCAGCTAACACTGTAGCTTTTGGAGTTGTGTACTCATTTCTCCCGGCTAATAAAGCAGTCTTTCTTTCTCTCCCTCCAGTTTTGGTGCAGGGATTTACTCTCGTAGAACAGGCATCATTCTCAACAACGAGCTGGCTGACTTCTGTTTTAGAGCAGAGAGAGTCAGTGCAGGTACATAGATAACATCTTCAATTTAGTAACCTTTTTAAATGAATGTATCACTTAGGACTACCTGTATAACCTTTAACTGGTCTTCATGGGGTGATATCTTATTATATTAGTCTATGGGTGATATCTGTGTATATAACTTTGTCTCATTCCTCACAGGTGAACAGCCTCCCTCTTCAATGGCTCCAGCTATACTCAGCTCTGGGAAAAATACCCTTGTAATTGGGGGATCAGGGGGTAGCATGATCACGACCGCCATGGCCCTGGTGAGTCTATTGAGTCAGGTGTCTTAACCAATTTCTACCACATGTCACAAGTCTGACTGTTCCTTTTCAACCCAGCACCTTTTTTTTTTTTAGAAAGGGATTCATAGAGCCTCATCAACTCTCTCTCTCTCTCTCTCTCTCTCTCTCTCTCTCTCTCTCTCTCTCTCTCTCTCTCTCTCTCTCTCTCTCTCTCTCTCTCTCTCTCTCTCTCTCTCTCTCTCTCTCTCTCTCTCTCTCTCTCTCTCTCATTTCAGTCCATAATGAACCACCTTTGGTTGGGGATGAGTTTGAAAGATGCCATTGCTTCTCCTGTAGTGTTTGTCGATGGCAACAACAATGTGATATTTGAGCGTGGCTTTGATAAGGTAATATCCTTTCATTAAATCAATGACAAATGACAGCCAAGGTCACTGCAATTGGCTGTCGAGTGATGACAAAGTGATGTCTATTTTTTTATAGCTAATATCTGCTTGATTGTAATAGCTGCCTGAGAGCAGTGACCATTTGAGAGACATACAGTCAAATCATGATTTTGAAGTGGAATGAGTAAGGGACTGTGAGTGGTGTTTTTTTTGTTGCCTAACTGTCTGTCTGTCTGTGCTCTCAGTCAGTGATAGAGGCCCTAAAGGTCATTGGACACAGAGTGACTGATTACCCATACTTCTTCAACGTGGTCAATGCTGTGGCCAAGGAGGACGAATGCATCACAGCCGTGTCAGACGTCAGGAAGCAGGGCAAAGCTGCTGGCTACTGACCAATAGGACACCAGGACACTAAAAGTTTACCAAGACCAGGTGTGTCCTTACTAAGGCATACAGCCAATTAATTGGCCTCAGAACACTGTAGAGTAGGTCCAAGAGGACTATCATTTTTGTGAGATTTATTTTTGTAGTTCAATTATCTTTATATATGAAATATGTTTTCTAAACCAACAGTCCAAGAGCCTTAAGGAGAATCAAATGGTCCTCTTGATGAATGACCAAGTACATAAAATTAAATGCTTGTTTTTAATGACTAACTGTGCAGTACACATACAGTATAGCACAAGGGAGGTCCTGAAGGAATTCAAATGGGAAGAGAAGGTCAGTACAGCCTGTCAGCCTGTACTAACATGGGACTCATACTGTGACCACAAGGACTTGTCAGATTCAGGACAGGACATGTTACAACTCAATCCTCCAAGTAAATGTATTAGTCCCTCTCTGGAGTGTTGCAGCAATACTCTCAGAGACTCACACTTTGAGATAAAACAGGCTTTTTACAGCCCCCTTCACAGTGTCAGAAAGGAATTCCACGGCCTAAAAATAGTAAAGCACCCTTTGCTGCCCAATCAGTTTGCTGCCTGATCTTAGTAAACTGGTGAAGAGAATTGTGTTTGACCAAATAGAACAAGCTAACTACTGACTTTCAGCATGCGTATAGAGAAGAGCACTGAACTTGTACTGCACTGACTCAGATGACAGATGATTGGTTAAAATAAATGGATAATAAGATGATAGTTGAAGCTGTATTGTTAGATTTCAGTGCAGCCTTTGATGTTATTGATAATAAATTGTTATTGAAGAAACTCACTTTGGCTTTACATCACTTGCCATCACATGGTTGTAGAGTTATTTATCCAATAGAACCCAGAGAGTGTTCTTCAATGGAAACTTCATTAACATCAGATATGTACAGTACGGTGTCCCTCAGGGCAGTTGCCTTGGGCCGTTACTCTTCTCTTTTTACAAATGATTTGCCACTGGTCTTACACAAAGCTAGAATAACTATGTATGCGGATGATTCCACACTCTACATGTCAGCACCCAAAGCCAGTGGGCTCACTGGAATTCTAAAAAAGGAGTTAGAGTCAGTTTTAGAATGGGTGAATAATAATAAACTGGTCTTAAATACATCTAAAACTAAAAGCATTGTATTTGGTTCAAAACATTCTCTAAGTTAAGCAGGCGGGTGTTAAGAAGCGTGGTTTGGCGGGTCATGTTTCAGAGGACATAAAGGGTTGTGCATAAAGGGTGTGACCGTTGAGCAAGTTGAGGAAGCTAAACTCCTAGGTATAACACTGAATGGTCAATTATCATGGTCAAGTCATATTGACAAAGTTCTTGTGAAGATGGGAGAGTATGTCTTCTATAAAAAGAGGTTCTACGTTTTTGACACATCAACTTGCCATATATAACAAGGCAATTACAAATGCCAGACGGGCTCATTTTTCTAACTTGATCACTAATAATCCGAATAATTTGAGAGTGCTCTTCTCGACCATTGATGGACTGATAAATCCTAACCCCGCAAACCTATGTGAACTTTCCTCCACATCTAAATGTGAATAGTTTGCGGCATATTTCAGAGATAAGATAACAAACATTAGGCTGGGTATCAGTCAAGCAAGACCTGATGAGAAGTTTGATATGTGCCCTAGCCTACCTCGCAAAGGCACTATGGATTTATTTTCCCTGGTTGACACAGACATGCTCAGAAAAGTGATATCACAACTTAAGCCTTCTACCTGCCTTCTCGATCCTATCCCCACCACTTTCTTCAAAACAGTTTTTAATTGTATATCTGAAGAAGTGCAAGCTATTGTTAATCACTCCCTGTTCACAGGCACTTTCTGCGCTGCACTAAAAACTACTATGCTGAAACCCATTCTGAATAACAGTAATCTAGATTCTTCAGCTCTTAGCAATTTTCCGCCCATCTCCAACTTTCCATTCTGAAGCAAAATTCTGGAGAATTTTTTTTAAACTGCCAACTGTATTTTTGAAAAATTCCAATCTGGTTTTTGTGCCCACCACAGCACAGAGACAGCCTTAGTTAAAGTGGTAAATGATCTTAGAGCCAACACAGATGCCAAACAGCTCTCCGTCCTTAGATTTAGGTGCTGCATTTGACACTGTTGACCATGATGTCCTTCTGGACAGACTCGAGAGATGGGTTGGCCTCTCTGGTCCAGTTCTAAATTGGTTCAGGACCTATTTAACTGGTCAAGAGTTTTTTTGTGACCCTTGGTGAACATAACTCAGAGAAAACACGTATCACATGTGGCGTTCCATAAGGTTTGATTTTGGGTCCGGTTCTGTTCAGTTTATATGTTACACCTTGGTTGCGGTATCAGACAGCATAGCATTGATTTTCACTGCCACGCAGACGATACACAACTTTACATTTCTGTGTCACCAGAGAGTTTTAGCACCACAGATAAATTATTAGACTGTATTAAATACTTGGATTTCTCACAACTTCCTCCAGCTAAATCAAGACAAGACCGATGTACTTATTTTTGGAGCCAAAGCACTTAGAGAGAAAATGGCTGCACATTTTAATTCACGGGGGAAAAAAATTAAACACCAGATAAAAAACCTAGGTGTTTATTTTAGATTCTGAACTCAATTCGAATCACACATTAGGAATGTGACCAAAATAGCTTTTTACCACCTGAGGAACATTGCCAAGGCGCGGCCATTTCTCTCTCCGGCTGGTACAGAGAGACTCGTCCATGGTTTTATTACCAGCAGGCTTGACTACTGTAATGCTCTCCTGTCTGGTCTACGCAAGAAAGCCATTGGTCAAATGCAAAACATACAGAATGTTGCAGCACGGGTACTGACCAAGACCAGAGCACACATTACACTGGTTTAAGGTCTCTGCATGTGAGTTTTAGAATTCATTTTAAGATTCTTCTATTGGTTTTTAAATCAATCCACAATTGTGCACCCCAATACATGTCAGACATGTTTTTAAGTTATGTACCTAGTAGGTCCCTCAGGCCCTCTGGCACTGGCCTTTTAACTACCCCAAAGTCTAGGACCAAGAGGCATGCCCCCAGCCTCTGGAATAGCCTGCCAGAGAACCTCGGGGGGCCGAAACTGTGGACATATTTAAAATAAATCTCAAAACTCACCTTTTTAGCCTTGCTTTTCCTTAGGGTGCTTTTTAGTCGTTCAATTTTTGTTATTATTTTGTTTTTTATCCTTGTGTAGTAAATATTTCAGTTTTTATTTTCATTGTTTTTATAATTTTTTTCCTGTGAAGCACGTTGCATTCCATGTCTGAAATGTGCTGTATAAATAAAGTTTGATTCGATTTGTACTAGTTGTTCAGGCTCTGGTCTTGTCCCATCTTGATTACTGTCCGGTAATGGTCAAGTGCAGCAAAGAATGACCTAGAAAAGCTGCAGCTGGCTCAAAACAGAGCAGCACACCTTGCCCTTAACTGCACATACAGAGCTAACATCAACAACATGCATGGCAGTATTTCCTGGTTGAAGGTCGACGAGAGATTAACTGATTCTCTTCTAGTTTTTATGAGAAATATTACTGTGTAGAAAATTCCGGATTGTCTGCATAATCAAATAACATTCAGCTCAGACACCCATACATAACCCACAAGACATGCCACCAAGGGTCTCTTCACAGTCCCCAAGTTCAAAACAAATTCACGGTAATGCACTGTATTATACAGAGCCATGATCGCATGGAACTCCCTTCCATCTCCAATTACTCAAGCAAACAGCAAAATCACCTTTAAAAAACTGATTAAACAACATCTCATGGAATGGCGGGAACTGTGAGGGGACACACACACACACACGCACACACAGACACACTAACACAAAAAAATGTGTAGTATTGTTTGTATATCATTGTATATTACATTTCTGTGACTGTCCTGTGTTTTGTTACTTGTCAAATTTTGTGTTTCTTGTGGACCCCAGGAAGAGTAGCTGCTGCTTCTGCCAACGCTAATGGGGATTCAAACAAACAAACAGTACATTGTAATAGAATCTACATCCAAAATAACAAGTACATTGGTTAGAGTTCTGAATGCTGGTGAGATAGTGCCATTGTGCAATCTTACAGAAGCTATAATAACACGTGTGACCAGAATGTGAAAAATAATGTACACTGATGTCCATACAGTGAGAGTACTTTTGATGTATTGCATTGACATCACCAGGGCCTGTTGTTGTCACATATGTACAGGTTTATATTGATCCCCTCCAGGTCTATTAAAACTTCAACCAGTGTTAACTTTTAGCATTTAGCCCCGTCACGTCTGAGATTAATACTAATTACTTTGACTTATTCTGTTTGCCCTACAGGAAGTGAGAACAGCTTTTTTTAAACAAAGGCAGTAATAGCAATGAGATGTGTTTCAATAGTAGAGCTTATGAATGAGTAATGATCTCTAAAAATGGATCCTCCCAGGCACTAGATGTGAATTATGAAAACATGCAAATCTGGTGTCTGGTGTTCATGTGGGATCATTTGGAGTAAATGAGCTCAGTCTTTGGTATAGATGTAGGATCTTAATTTGAGCCAGTTTGCTACAGCAAGAAAATAATCCTACAGCAACAGGAAATGTGAATTATTATGTGGATTAAAATTAATGGACATTTTTGTAGGGGTTGATACATTTACCATAAGGGAAACTCAAGTCTGAAATGTAAAAGTGGAAATCAAAAACTTCAGAAGCCTTTTTAAACCTCAAAAACACTACAAGTTTTACATTTCCTGCATTGCAGGAAGTTTTTCCTGCAACAGGGTGGACAAATTAAGATCCTACATCTGTAAGTGGCAGAGTGTTTCGTCAGGTTTAGCTAAATGATAGTAAGGCTCTCGGTGACACTCAGGAAAATGCTTGAATAAAGCCTTAGTTAATCAACTTTCCAATACAGCATGTTGTCTGTCCAGGGTATTTCAAAGCTGTAAAATAATTACGGTAAAATAGTTGTTGAATGCTTTGCCTCTAAGTTTTTGTCTCTGTTTTGTATCCTGCTTTCCAATGTCTAATTATACAGTGAGAGATGTGGTATGACCCTGTCAGAAGTTACAGTATTTATGAGGTCATGTCATGAACTGTTGTTGAAATCTGTTGATGGGAAATTATTGTTAGTCATATAAACTCAGCAAAAAAAGAAAAGTCCTCTCACTGTCAACTGCGTTTATTTTCAGCAAACTTAACATGTGTAAATATTTGTATGAACATAACAAGATTCAACAACTGAGACATAAACTGAACAGACATGTGACTAACAGAAATGGAATAATGTGTCCCTGAACAAAGGGGGTGTAAAAATCAAAAGTAACAGTCAGTATCTGGTGTGGCCACCAGCTGCATTAAGTACCTCAGTGCATCTCCTCCTCATGGACTGCACCAGATTTGCCAGTTCTTGCTGTGAGATGTTACCCCACTCTTCCACCAAGGCACCTGCAAGTTCCCGGACATTTCTGGGAGGAAAGGCCCTAGCCCTCATCCTCCGATCCAACAGGTCCCAGACGTGCTCAATGGGATTGAGATCCGTGCTCTTTGCTGGCCATGGCAGAACACTGACATTCCTGTCTTGCAGGAAATCACGCACAGAACGAACAGTATGGCTGGTGGCATTGTCTTGCTGGAGGGTCATGTCAGGATGAGCCTGCAGGAAGGGTACCACATGAGGGAGGAGGATGTCTTCCCTGTAACGCACAGCGTTGAGATTGCCTGCAATGACAACAAGCTCAGTCCGATGATGCTGTGACACACCGCCCCAGACCATGACGGACCCTCCACCTCCAAATCGATCCCGCTCCAGAGTACAGGCCTCAGTGTAACGCTCATTCTTTCGATGATAAACGCGAAACCAACCATCACCCCTGGTGAGACAAAGCCGTGACTCGTCAGTGAAGAGCACTTTTTGCCAGTCCTGTCTGGTCCAGCGACGGTGGGTTTGTGCCCATAGGCGACGTTGTTGCCGGTGATGTCTGGTGAGGACCTGCCTTACAACAGGCCTACAAGCCCTCAGTCCAGCCTCTCTCAGCCTATTGTGGACAGTCTGAGCACTGATGGAAGGAATGTGCGTTCCTGGTGTAACTCGGGCAGTTGTTGTTGCCATCCTGTACCTGTCCCGCAGGTGTGATGTTCGGATGTACCGATCCTGTGCAGGTGTTGTTACACGTGGTCTGCCACTGCGAGGACGATCAGCTGTCCGTCCTGTCTCCCTGTAGCGCTGTCTTAGGCGTCTCACAGTACGGACATTGCAATTTATTGCCCTGGCCACATCTGCAGTCCTCATGCCTCCTTGCAGCATGCCTAAAGTACGTTCACGCAGATGAGCAGGGACCCTGGGCATTTTTCTTTTGGTGTTTTTCAGAGTCAGTAGAAAGGCCTCTTTAGTGTTCTAAGTTTTCATAACTGTGACCTTAATTGCCTACCGTCTGTAAGCTGTTAGTGTCTTAACGACCGTTCCACTGGTGCATGTTCATTAATTGTTTATGGTTCATTGAACAAGCATGGGAAACAGTGTTTAAACCCTTTACAATGAAGATCTGTGAAGTTATTTGGATTTTTACGAATTATCTTTGAAAGACAGGGTCCTGAAAAAGGGCCGTTTCTTTTTTTGCAGAGTTTAGTTAACAGTGCTATGAAAAAGTATTTGCCCCCGTTTCTAGTTTTCTCTGTTTTTGCATATTTGTGATACTGCATGTTATCAGATCTTCAACCAAAACCTAATATTAGATAAAGGGAACATAAGTGAACAAATAACACAACAATTACATATTTATTTCATTTATTTCATAAACAATGTTATGCAACACCCAATTCCCCTGTGTGAAAAAGTAATTGCCCCCTTACACTCAATAACTGGTTGTGCCACCTTTAGCTGCAATGACTCCAACCAAATGCTTCCTGTAGTTGTTGATCAGTCTTTCACGTCGCTGTGGAGGAATTTTGGCCCACTCTTCCATGCAGAACTGCTTTAACTCAGTGACGTGTGGGTTTTCAAGCTTGAGCTGCTCGTTTCAAGTCCTGCCACAACATCTCAATTGGGATTAGGTCTGGACTTTGACTAGGCCATTCCAAAACTTCCAATTTGTTGCTTTTTAGCAATTTTCATGTAGACTTGATTGTGTGTTTTGGATCATTGTCTTGCTGCATGACCCAGCTGCGCTTCAGCTTCAGCTCACAGATGAATGGTCTGACATTCTCCTGTAGAATTCTCTGATACAGAGCAGAATTCATGGTTCCTTCTATTAAGGCAAGTCGTCCAGGTCCTCAGGCAGCAAAGCATCCCCAAACCATCACACCACCACCACCATGCTTGACCTTTGGTATGATGTTCTTACTGTGGAATGCAGTGTTTGGTTTTCACCAGGCACAATGAGACCCATCTCGTCCAAAAAGTTGACTCAAGTTTGCCAAAAAGCACCTGGATGATCATCAAGACTCTTGGAAGAACGTTCTATGGACAGATGATTCAAAAGTATGCCTGGTGAAAACCAAATGTCAGACCATCCGTCTGTGAGCTGAAGCTGAAGCGCAGCTGGGTCATGCAGCAAGACAATGATCCAAAACACACAATCAAGTTTTGGAATGGCCTAGTCAAAGTCCAGACCTAATTCCAATTGAGATGTTGTGGCAGGACTTGAAACGAGCAGTTCATGCTTGAAAACCCACACATCACTGAGTTAAAGCAGTTCTGCATGGAAGAGTGGGCCAAAATTCCTCCACAGCGACGTGAGAGACTGATCAACAACTACAGGAAGCATTTGGTTGGAGTCATTGCAGCTAAAGGTGGCACAACCAGTTATTGAGTGTAAGGGGGCAATTACTTTTTCACACAGGGGAATTGGGTGTTGCATAACTTTGTTTATGAAATAAATATGTAATTGTTGTGTTATTTGTTCACTTATGTTCCCTTTCTCTAATATTAGGTTTTGGTTGAAGATCTGATAACATTCAGTATCACAAATATGAAAAAGTAGAGAAAATTAGAAAGGGGGCAAATACTTTTTCGTAGCACTATAGCTCTGCAGCACATGCTTTTCCTGCTGTGACATTTTGCCTTTTACAGTAGGTTCATTCATCCCCACACACAAGTTGCCCATTGACCACCATGTACTATGTCCAAAACCTGATGCCAAAGACAAGACACAGGTTAAATATTTTCTAACAGACATTGTCCCTTTTTGCTATATTTGGTCAAAGAGTATATGCTCTATGTTACGCATTCACTATACCCCTGAGTGGCACTGAGAATAGTTAGAATTTTGCTTTACATATGTTTTCATGTTATCCTCTATGCTGTTATGACATAATTTCCTAACATATTTTGTGGAATATAAATTAAGTTTTCATGTTTACTGTCCAAAAAACATGGATCAAGTAAATACATTTTAGTGGAATTTTTTTTATGGAACACTCAGCCTTACATGATACAAGATTATCATCAATGGTATTTTTGACAAACATAAATTAACAAATGGCAAAACAAACTATTCCTATTCTGACCGACAATCCATGAAAGATTGCAATGAAAGAAAAACATTAATATAGAGATGGCACTGTTACTTTGAATATTAAATATTGAGATGGTACAGACAGTACCGAATAATAATCAAATTAAAGCGTAGTGGAGGAGAACTGTGGAGAATGAATAGCTCTATCTCAGTATCTGGATATCAGACTGAGGTACTTGGTCATCAAAGACAGGATAAGAGAGTAGTTTCTCTCCACTTTGTTATGACACCAATGAGGGGAGAAAGGTGGACCTGGTTTACCAGAGAGGATTAAGGTCATAGGTTGTAGGTCATTGCCGAGATGAGGAGAGGAATGTGTGTGTGTTTCTGTTGGTTTGTAATATAGTCTGTAGAGGTGGCTTTCATCTGAATTGGAAGCCTAATCAGCCAGCCTGTCTGTGGAAGCAGGGGTGTGTTTATGGGTCTCAGTATGTAATAAACTGGGGTGTCTGTATGGGTCTCAGTTTGAGGGAGCAGGTAGTGATGGGGGAAAAAATCAATGCAGTTACATATCGCAATATTATTTTGGACGATATTATATTGATACTTTGACTCCAAGTATTGATATGTACAAAATTAGGTAGCTTTAGCTAGCGCTAGTCGGCTGTACCTGCGCCAAAACTCTGGTATTTTTCATCCTATAGCCTGTTCTCCATCTTCTTTTTAAATAGTGAGCCAACATGTTTTCAGTACTTTTATTTTCATGACTGATTCAAACTAATTTTCTCATGCTCTCTTTTGTCTCTGCAGCAGACATAGTGAGCAATATGTTTGGAACATCAAATCGCAATAAAATCACAGTATCGAATTGCAATAAATATAGAATTGTGAGAATCGTAATACATATCATAAGTATCGTGATATATCGTTATTGTGAGATCCCTGGCAATTCCCAGCCATAGTAGCAGGGTAGTGTGGTTGGTCTCAGTACCCAGCGGCATAGCCCCATTTCCTGGGGTCAGATTCAGCATGGAGCCGGTCCCCCTGGCGCACCACCGCCTGAACCACAGCCCCTGTGGCTTTCAGGAACTCTGTCTCATGGTTCTTCAAGGCCAGACCAGCCATCACCCTCTGTAAGGAAAGCATATAGAACACTGTGAAACTCCTGTCCAAATAGGCATTCCGCTTCACTAGCATGATAACCAGCCATGATCTTGATACACTGTAGGGCATGTGTATTGACTATCGTCAGTCATCTATCCCACCTCGTCAAACCCGGGCTCTCCCAGTGTGGTGTTGGGACTCAGCTGGTTGTGGATTCTGGGATCTGCCACCGCTTTCTTCAGGTCGTAGTTAAAGAACAGTGCATTGAGAATCACCTGCAGAACGAACCGACAACAATTCAGTCACAGACGACTACTTGGTAAAATGCAAAGAAAGTATTAAAGAGTATTTGCACACAGCAATGAAAGGGCATGGTAACCTGGCTCACCGTGGCAATTGCAGTGGTGATCTTTGTTCCTCCTGAGCCCCCCACCACCATCTTGACTTCCTTGCTCCCCTTGTCAAAGAGAATGGCTGGACACATAGAGGACAAGGGCCTCTTACCTGGAGGGAGACAATTAGGGAGTTAGGTCCATCCATATCCACCATCAAGTACCAATTTCTGGTTAACCGAGCCGGCTGATGCACTGAAAACTTTGGTGTCTATAGTCAGATGAACCCTTTACCTGGTCTGATGAAGTTGTTTGGTGAAGGAGGCACTCCAAAGCCATTAGTGATGAGGGGGGAGCTGAAGTCATCCATCTCATTGTTGAGGAGGATTCCTGTAGAACGCGACATGACTTTGGAGCCAAAACTAGGCAGGAAAAAGAATAGAAAGATAATGACGACAGGTGAATAATGAGGACTACCTCCAGTTAATTTTTGTAATCAAAACTGGGACTTGATTCTTACAAATGGTTGATGGTGCTGGTGGCTGCCACTGCACTCCCGTCCTCTGCCATCACAGACAGATGTGCTGTCCCGTGGTTCTCGGGGACAAAGTACTCCGGCTCATAGTAGTTCATGTGATGGGTGGTATCGTCTGTAATCTTCTGACGGAGTGCATCGGCAAAGTAATCTGAGGTCATGTTGTGGATGAACTGAAGAGGAGTGGGGACAGGAGAATGAGGCTCTGCCATTCAAATGAATGCCCATTCATGGAAACAACCATACAGAACAGTGTAGAATGATGAAGATGGACTGGTTTGCATTTACTGAAATTTCAACATAGCAGCTTTACAAATACTGTCTCTGGGCTGACTGAAGTCCATTTCAATCAATAGTCTAATCAACTCTCTTATATGAGCATATCCATATTTACTCTGTCTCCAATGAACATGAACATGATGTTCCAACACATACTAGGACCATTGATTGAATATGATTAGTAAGTGACTGATTGGAGTAAATTCTTGAAAGAGTAAACATCCAGTAGAGACATCCTATTAGAGAACTATTCAATATTAGCTCTGGGAAAGACGGGGATGAGACTTACATCAGAGATGGAGAGGAATTGTGGATCACCCAGCATGCTTCGCTTGGCATAGGCGAATCGGAAGGCCTCGACCATGCGGTGGTACGTGAGGATCTTCTTCTCAGTGCTGGAGACACTGTCTGAGGTGAAGTTGTATCCTGCATGGGAGAAAACATGGTAATCAGTTCAACCATAACCATTGCTGCTGCCATGTTGTGTTGCTACCATGTTGTTGTCATGAGTTGCTCCCATGCTATGTTGTTGTCTTAGGTCTCTCTTTATGTAGTGTTGTGGTGTCTCTCTTTTCGTGATGTGTGTTTTCTCCTGTATTGTTATTTTTAATCCCAGCCCCCGTCCCCGCAGGAGGCATTTTGCCTTTTGGTAGGCCGTCATTGTAAATAAGAATTTGTTCTTAACTGACTTGCCTAGTTAAATAAAGGTTAAATAAAACATAAATAAATGAATAGCCTGCATCCCTACATTTATTAAACAATAATACAGTACATTTAATTTGATCACGTCAATATACACTTTGATTCGGTGAAGTGGACATTGAAAAGGTTTTACCCAGATAAAAGCTCAATATAACATTTCTGTTCATTCTGTATCCCTGTCCCAGTCTATCAGTGTTATAACTGTTTTAGTTCACAGCCATAGAGGAGGAGAAGACGGGAGAAAGGAAAGGAAACTAAAACCAAATGGAAAAATGTGATGAATTTCAGCTGACAGGCAGTAGCAGAAGTCATGGTGAACCGTCAGGATGAAGGGCATGAGCGGGCCCTGGCATGCCAGTAGCAGAAGTCATGGTGAACCGTCAGGATGAAGGGCTTGAGCGGGCCCTGGCATGCCAGTAGCAGAAGTCATGGTGAACCGTCAGGATGAAGGGCTTGAGCGGGCCCTGGCATGCCAGTAGCAGAAGTCATGCTGAACCGTCAGGATGAAGGGCTTGAGCGGGCCCTGGCATGCCAGTAGCAGAAGTCATGCTGAACCGTCAGGATGAAGGGCTTGAGCGGGCCCTGGCCTGCCAGTAGCAGAAGTCATGGTGAACCGTCAGGATGAAGGGCTTGAGCGGGCCCTGGCATGCCAGTAGCAGAAGTCATGATGAAGCGCTTGAGCGGGCCCTGGCATGCCAGTAGCAGAAGTCATGGTGAACCGTCAGGATGAAGGGCGTGAGCGGGCCCTGGCATGCCAGTAGCAGAAGTCATGGTGAACCGTCAGGATGAAGGGCTTGAGCGGGCCCTGGCATGCCAGTAGCAGAAGTCATGCTGAACCGTCAGGATGAAGGGCTTGAGCGGGCCCTGGCATGCCAGTGTTAAGTGATTCCCCCGCCACTCATCTGTGTCCAATTAGAGGTAAATTGGTCAGATTAGAGTTTGCGGTAGAGGCAGGGGGCCACAGGAAGAGTAGGTTCAGGCAGTTTAATTACTCTGGAATAAGGTTTTCTTATATAGCCACTGTACTGGGCACCAGCAGAGAGAGGACATCTATGGACTATATATCCAATAGACCCTGCATGAATGTGGAGCTGAAACAGAGCTGGGGGATGATTGGCCCTCCTGTAGCTCAGTTGGTAGAGCATGGCGCTTGCAACGCAAGGGTTGTGGGTTCATTTCCCACGGGGGGCCAGTATGAAAAATGTATGCGCTCACTAATTGTAAGCCGCTCTGAATAAGAGCATCTGCTAAATGACTAAAATGTCAATTGGATCACTAATGAGAAGAGGAGATTTATTTCTACACCCCAATTACTGATCAGTCAGCAGCACCACCACAAACATAAGGTGGTTATCTATCTTAATTTGCATGGTCAAGAGATCTATATGTGTATGGTGCATACAGGATGAGATAGACCAGGGCTGCTACAATGTAAATGAACAGCATCATTTTCCTACGTGAACAGTGCTTACGGAGCATCAGGCCTGCAGAGCAGAGCGCCACGGAAAACAATTATCTTTGGTCCTTATACACTTATAATGTAGCACAGGCTGTCCAAATGTGACCCACAGTTTGATCTTGAATACAACTCTGTGTCATCAGGCTGAAGGCTTACCATCCAGGATGTTGAGTATGAGGGACAGGACAGGGCCACTGGCAGGGGCGTTGGGTACAAACATGGTGTACTCCCCCACACTAGCATTGAGAGGATTCTCATCCAAAAAAGGCTTGTATTTCTTTAGGTCATCCAGTGTGATGATACCATCTGAAACACATACCGGTAAACAGACAATAAGATACTGTTTCTGTAACACGTACAGTCAGCAGACCCTGAATGAAATTCTATCAAAATTGCAGTTTGTTGATATTTGGTAGATATAAGGGAGAAACCAACCTGCAGCCTGAATGTCCCTTACAAGGTTCTCTGCCAGCGGGCCTTCGTAAAAAGCATTAGGCCCCTCATTTGCTATTATTTCATAGGTGTCAGCGAGTTTAGTAAAGGTGATGGTGTCGTTTTCCTTCAGGATGGCACCGTTTTTGTCACAAAACACCTCACTGAAAGAAAGACCAAAAACAGAGATGTAATGTTTGGGTATAAGGGCATAAATCATAAAGGCATAAATCATCAACAGGGGAGGTACAGTATCTTCTTATTTGAAAACTTGACCCTCTGTACAGTAACTCAGATCGCCATTGTGGTCATTCTCACCATAAAGCCATGTCACGGGTGATGGTTTGCCTGTTCTTGGAGATAGCGGTGGCCAATGCCCTGCCCAAAGGAAAGCCTTTCCGTGCCAACTGGATTGCAGGCTGGAATAGCTCTCTCCATGGCAATTTTCCATGGCGTTTGTATGCCATCTCATACCCACGGATCTCCCCTGGTATGGCGATGGACAACCCTCCTGCCAAACGTTACACGTAATGTAATGTAACAGATTGTGAAAGGGTATATTGGAAGATGATAGGTTTGAGTGCAGCTTTTGATCTTCTCTAATGTACTACTCCTAATGTACTACTCTTCATTCCTGTTCCCAAGAACTCTAAGGCTACCTGCCACAATGACTACCGCCCTGTAGCACTCACATCTGTAATCATGAAGTGCTTTGAGAGGCTGGTTATGGCACACATCAACTCCACCATCCCAAACACTCTAGACCCACTCCAATTTCCATACCACCCCAACAGATCCATAGACGATGCAATCTCAATTGCACTCCACACTGCCCTCACCCACCTACAGTAGACAAAAGGAATACCTATGTGAGAATGCTGTTCATTGACTACAGCTCAGCGTTCAACACAATAGTCCCCTCCAAGCTCGTCACCAAGCTCGGGACCCCGGAACCCTGGGACTGAACACCTCCCACTGCAACTGGATCCTGGACTTTCTGACGGGCCAACCCCAGGTGGTGAGGGTAGGCAACACCTTGCCACACTGACCCTCAACAGGGGGGCCCCACAGGGGTGTGTGCTTAGACCCCTCCTATACTCCCTGTTCACCCACGACTGCGTGGCCACCCACGACTCCAACACAATCATCAAGTTTGCTGACAACACGACAGTGGTAGGCCTGATCACTGGCGACGATGAGACAGCCTACAGGGAGGAGGTCAGTGACCTGGCAGCGTGGTGCCCAAGACAACAACCTCAACATCAGCAAGACCAAGGAGTTTATCGTGGACTACAGGAAAGGGGGGGGCGAGCATGCCCCCATCCACATCGACGGGGCTGCAGTGGAGCAGGGTCGAGACCTTCAAGTTCCTTGGTGTCCAAAACACTAAGAACTTAAAATGGTCCACACACACGCACACAGTCATGAAGAATGCACGACAGCGCCTCCTTCCCCTCAGGAGGTTGAAAAGATTTGGCATAGAACCTCAAATCCTCAGAAAGTTCTACAAAACGTTCTACAGCGTTACCATTGAGAGCATCTTGACTGCAGTACTGCCTGGTATGGACTCTATGCACTCTCACAGGACTCTACACACTCACACTCACACTAACACTCCAACACACACACACTTCATTGGCTCACACACACATAACACACACATTCATACTAACACTACACTCACGCACGCACACACACTCACATACAATCATCATATAAGCTGCTACTACTCCGTTTATCATATCCTGATGTCTAGTCACCTTACCCCTATACATACAGTATCTACCCCTGCCACTCCAGTATCCCTGCACATTGTAAATATGGTATTGGAACTGAACCTATATAAAGCTTCTTACTTTCTCATGTTCTTCTTATTTCTATTTCTCATGTGTTTTTGTTCTACACTGAACAGAAATACAAACGCAACATGTAAAGTGTTGGTCCCATGTTTCATGAGCTGAAATAAAACATCCTAGAAATGTTTCTTAGGCACAAAAAGCTTAATTCTCTCAAATGTTGTACACAAACTTGTTTATATCCGTGAGTGAGCATTTCTCATTTGCCAAGATAATCCATCCACCTGACAGGTGTGGCATATCAAGCTGCTGTTTAAACAGCATGATCATTATACCGTTGCACCTTGTGCTGGGGACAATAAAAGGTCCCTTTAAAATGTGCAGTTTTGTCACACAACACAATGTCTCAAGTTTTGAGGGAGCATGCAATTTGCATGCGGACTGCCCACCAGAGCTGTTGCCAGAGAATGTAATGTTCATATCTCTACCATAAGCTGCCTCCAACGTCATTTTAAAATAATTTGTCATTACATCTATCCGGCCTCACAACTGCAGACCACGTGTAACCACGCCAGCCCAGGACCTCCACATCCGGCTTCTTCAGCTGTGGGATCGTCTGAGGGGGGAGGGGTGCTGAGGAGTATTTCTGTCTGCTATAAAGCCCTTTTGTAGGGAAAAACTCATTCTGATTGGCTGGTCCTGGCTCCCCAGTGGGCCATTTCACCGTACTAGTGCATGTGGCAATAAAACTTGAAACTCTTATCGCAGTATCTTTTGACTATTGCAAGGCCATCTTTCATTGTAAACATACATCTTTCAACCTTTTGTTAGGTAACTGGTAAAACATTACCATTCTTGGCTAACTCTGTGCTATTCCCAAACATGTCCTCTGTTGCGTTGGCGGGAGCCGTCTCTCTGGAATCAATGGTCTCTACCTTTCCTGTGAAGGAAGACAGAATCATCATTACATCACACCAAGTTACAATGGAGTGAGCTATTACATTTCCTGTTTTTAGTTCAGTTATGCCAGTCAATGTTGGATTTGTTGACATCATTAAAGATACACGGTATAGGTTTAAGTCAAGGTTTAGGGCTCAGACTCTACCAGTTGTGGCATTATAGATGGTGAAGAAGAGACCTCCTCCAATGCCCATGCTGTGGGCATTCACCAGCCCCACACACAACAAGGCAGCAATAGATGCATCCACTGCAGAGCCCCCTTTCTGCAACATGTCTCTGAGATTTATAGTGGACACACAAACACACGCTCTGTAAGGACATACGCTGGGAGATGAGAAGCAAGTACAGGGAGTGAACATTTAATATAAACAGACATGAAACAAAACACGGACAGCGTCTGGACAGGGGAAACATAACGACATTAATGCTGACACGGGGATCACAACTGAGGAACAGACAGATATAGGGGAGGTAATCAAACAGTGATGAAGTCCAGGTGAGTCCAATGAAGCGCAGATGCGCGTAACGATGGTGACAGGTGTGCGTAACGATGGGCAGTCTGGCGCCCTCGAGCACCAGGGAGGGGGAGCTGGAGCAGGTGTGACGCGCAGACAAAAGTTTGTATTCAGTGGCCCTGATTTGCATAAACAAGCGCTAGTTTGTGAAGAAACAGCAGGCAGTGTACACAGACAGAATTAATTTGAAATGGTGGATGAACATACATAAACTCAGAAGCAGGAGCATATTTTTATGTTCAGACAGGGATCTTTGTATTGTATATGAATGTCTCCAACAACATTTCAATGAGTAATTTCATTGGTGTGCAAACGTTTGAGACTAGTACTGTATGTACATGCACAGTATGTTTGTGTTTGTGTGTGAGAGAGAATTCTAACCTGCCGATTTCTGAGCATGGGCCAGCATCGGCTGCCACGGCAGCCCTTGAGTAGGAATGGTCATTCGAGGACGCCCTGCTCCCCAAACCAAAGAACACTCCCACAAAAGTGCTCACCGCTGCCACCAGCAGCACCACCAGACCCACCACTATGGATTTATGGACCATCTTTCTGTCAGGGAAACACAGGACATCATATTAGATTCAATTTCAATTGAAGGGAGTTAGACAAGTATAAACACACAGAAACACATGAGCAAAGACGAAAGAAAGAGAGAGGAATCATTTTGCAAACATGTGCATCATAATTATGAAATGTGAGTTGTCACTAAGTTCTCTAACATTCTGTTCAGATATAAAACCATGCCATTACAACTCACCTCACTTAACAGTGTGTCCTCCTAACCTTATATAGAGAGTAAACTCGATAGTAATCCTTTCAGTATATTAACCCAACAAGATACACTTTCCTCCTAACTAGTTTATTTTGTTGAAATCTGAGACTGGTTTTATACAGGCATCCCAACTCTGATTCCTGTACCCAATTATTGGCAAAAGAGCTGCTCTGGGTCAGAAGACCAATTATTGGTGAAAGATCAGAATTTGGCTGCCTGTGTAAACGCACCCTTAGAGGTCAACCTACTAAAACATGTAACAACAACATGCCTATTGATTACTAATACCAGTCAGCAAAACATTTCATAATAACACTTTGATTCTTACCTTGGAGTAACGCAAATAGCAAGGTTTGACATGCTGCGATAAGAAAGTGAAATATGTATACTGTACAGTCACACAGATGTGCCATTGATGAGAGGGTAGTGTCCGCATTTTGAAAAGGGGATCTGCATGCTGTTGTTGTTTTTTATCTAATCTAGCTGGTTGAATATTTAAATTCAGATAAGAGCCTTTTGATATCCCTAATGAGAATGTTCCACTGCTTGCACCGTACACGCTTAGAAAAAAAGGTTCCAAAAGGGTTCTTTGACTGTCCCTTTTTGGTTCCAGGTAGAACACTTTTGGGTTCCATGTAGAACCCCTCTGTGGAAAGAGTTCTACATGGAACCCAAAAGGATTCTACCTGGAACCAAAAGGGTTCTACCTTGAAGCAAAAAGGGTTCTTCAAAGGGTTTTCCTATGGAGACAGCCGAAGAACTCTTTAGGTTCTAGATAGCACCCTGTTTCTCTAAAAGTGTATTGTACAGATATTGGACATACAGTACTGTAACTACAATTGTATAGAGCAGCAATTACTTACTTTATTTTAGCAATCTTTACTTAAGTATCTGAAACCATCTCCAAATAAATTTCCTGATATTCCATAAGTCAAAATCTACGAGAGGCCAGCTCTGTGAGAGTGTGATTTGAATGAGTCAGGCGCTGGAGGGTAAATCACCGAATACAGAGTTTATTCCGTGGGAAACAGTTATGCTGGATAGCGTCAACAAGATACACTATCCAGGCACACAGGGAACAATAGCCCCGGAAATACCGCGCGCCAAAACCAGTCATCTACCGCAGGAGAATCGGTCTGGCTCTGGTGCCACGGTGCCAGAACCGGTTGGTAACCTAAAACACATTGGAATGGCGTTAGGTTAGTAGAGGAGTGGCGGAGAGAGTTCTGGGCATATTCTGCCCATGGCAAGAACACCGAACACTCCCCTGGCCGGTCCTGGCAGTAGGACCGCAGGAACCTACCCACATCCTGATTTACCCGTTCCACCTGCCCATTAAACTCGGGGTGGAACCCAGAGGTCAGGCTGACCGAGACCCCCAGACGTTCCATGAACGCCCTCCAGACTTTGGATGTGAACTGGAGAACTCGGTCAGACACTATATCCTCTGGTACCTAGTATTGCCGGAAGACGTGTGTAAACAGGGCCTCCACAGTTTGCAGGGCCGTTGGGAGACCGGGCACAGGAAGGAGGCGGCAGGCCTTTGAAACGCGGTCCACAACGACCAGGACGGTGGTGTTACCTTGGGAGAGGGGAAGACCAGTCAGGAAATCAGCACTTAGATGAGACCATTGTCGTTGTGGAATTGGTAAAGGTTGTAACTTACCCGCTAGGATGTGCCTAGGTGCCTTACTCTGGGCGCACACCGAGCAGGAGGAGACATATACCCTCACGTCCTTAGCCAAGGTAGGCCAACAGTACTTTCCGGTCAGGCAGCGCACTGTACGACCGATACCTGGGTGACCAGAGGAGGGTGACGTGTGTGCCCAGTAGATCAGACGATCACGGATAAGAGCAGGCACGTACCGCAGCCCAGCTGGACACTGAGGTGGAGATGGATTTGTGCGTAATGCCTGCTCTATATCCACGTCCATCGCCCATACTACCGGTGCCACAATGCAGGAAGCCGGGAGTATGGGGGTGTTGTCTCTGGGCCTCTCCTCTGTGTAATACAGCCATGACAATGCATCTGCCTTCACGTTCTTCGTACCCGGGATGTATGACAGTGAAAAATCGAACCGGGTGAAGAATAGGGCCCACCTGGCCTGGCAAGGATTCAGCCTCCTCGCTGCCCAGATGTACTCCAGGTTACGGTGGTCCGTCCAGACGAGGAAAGGGTGTTTCGCCCCTTCGAGCCAATGCCTCCACACGGTTAAAGCTCGGACAACAGCCAACAGCTCCCGATCACCAACATCGTAGTTCTGCTCCGCCGGGCTGAGCTTCTTAGAGAAGAAGGCACAGGGGCGGAGCTTGGGTGGCGTACCCGAGCACTGAGATAGGACAACGCCTATCCCTACCTCGGACGCATCCACCTCCACTACGAACGGTAGTTATGTCAGCCTCAGCAGACCAGCGGAGCCGGCACGGCCCACCCTTCAACAGAGATGTAATGGGAGCTGCGACCTTGCCAAAGCCCCGGAAAAACCTCTGATAGTAGTTGGCGAAGCCCAGAATGCGCTGCACCTCCTTGACCGTGGTGGGAGTCGGCCAATTACGTACGGCTGAAATGAGATCCCCCTCCATCTCCAAAACCTGAGGTGGTAATGCGGTATCCGAGGAAGGAGACGGACTGCTGGGAAAACATACACTTCTCCGCCTTGGCATAAAGGTCATTTTCCAACAGTCGGGCTAGCACTTTGCGAACCAGAGACACATGCTCAGCGCGCGTAGCGAAATACAACAGAATGTAATCGATGTAGACCACTACACCGTGACCAAGCATGTCACGAAACACCTCGTTCAGAAAGGACTGGAAGACAGATGGAGCATTCATCAAACCGTAGGGCATCACCAGGTATTCATAATGCCCCGTGGTTGTGCTGAATGCTGTCTTCCACTCAACCCCCTCTCGAACACGCACCAGGTTGTACACACTCCTGAGATCTAATTTGGTGAAGAAGCGCGCCCCATGCATTGACTCGATCACTGACAGAATGAGCGGGAGAGGATAACAAAATCTTACCGTCTCCTTGTTCAGTGGTCGATAATCCATGCAAGGGCGCAGACCACCGTCTTTCTTCTTCACAAAGAAGAAACTCAAGGAGGCAGGTGAAGTGGAGGGATGTATATAGCCCTGGTGCAGGGACTCGGCGACGTATGTTTCCATAGCCGCCGTTTCAGCCTGCGACAGGGGGTACACATGACTCCTGGGAGCTACAGCGTCTACCCGGAGGTTTATGGCGCAATCCCCCGCCCAATGAGGTGGTAACTTGGTAGCCTGCGTTTTAGAGAATGCCTGCGCCAAATCGAGGTATTCGGGGGGAATGCATACGGTGGAGGTACTGTCTGGACTTCCCACCGTGGTTGCACCAACGGAAACACTTAGACACCTACCCTGACACTCTTGCGACCACCCCGTGAGAACCCTCTGTGGCCATGAGAAGGTGGGGTTGTGGAGTGCTAACCAAGGGAGACCTAATACCACAGGGAAAGCAGGAGACTCAATAATATAAAAAGTGACCTGCTCACAATGAGTCTCCTGGGTAGTCATGGTGACTGGTGCAGTAACCTCCTTAACAAACCCTGACCCTAATGGTCGACTATCAAGTGCTCTGATGGGGAGTGGAATGGATAGGGGAACCAATTAAATGCCTAGCCGGTGTGAGAATGCCCTGTCCATAAAGTTCCCAGCTGCGCCTGAATCGACTAGCGCCTTACACTGGGGAACTACCATGTGTAGAAATGGTCGATAAGGGCCCGCTCGTTCCACCCGGACCCCGCTGCCAGAGTCCGAAACACCAAAGCAAAGTCCTGCACGGTCCTCGTCCCCAGCCTCAGGTGGACCAGCCGCTCGCCCGCCTCTCGACCTTCGGGCGGGTGATCGAAGACCGCCCGAAAGAGGCCAGCGAACTCCCCGTAGTTCTCCAACGCGGCTCCTCCTTCGTTCCACACCGCGTTGGCCCACTCCAGGGCTTTCCCCGAGAGGCAGGAGACGAGGGCGGACACCTTCTCCCGCTCCGATGGGGCCGGCCTGATGCTGGAGAAATAGAGCTCCAGTTGGAGGAGGAATCCTTGGCAGAGCGCCGCCGTCCCATCAAACTCCTGTGGTCGGGATATCTCGATCCCTCCGGGTGCTGGGGTGTGGGTAGCTGGATCCGGTTGACCAACCTCTCCAGGCGTTGGCTGTTCTTAACATGATGTAGTTGTAGATATTCCATATGAGGTCCAGATGTACATAAACTATAAGGTGAAATATAAATATGGGACAGTTCGAAATTTACTGGGGGTTGTCATTTTTTTTACTTTGGGGAGGGTTGTGTATTTTTTTATTGGGCACAGGGAAGGGTAATGTGTTTTTTCCCTGGTTTACATTTGCCCTTCTGACAGGTTTTACTATAGAATTTGTTCCATCCTAGCCATATTTCCTCATCTGGAAGCATGTGCCACCCCTATATCAAGGTGTTTTTGTACTTCCCTTATGAACTACACTTCCACACGCTAACTACACCACAGGTCAATATACACTGAGTGTACAAAACATTAAGAACACCTGCTCTTTCAAGGACATAGACTGACGAGGTAAATCCAGGTGAAAGCTATGATCCCTTATTGATGTCACTTGTTAAATCCACATCAATCAGTGTATATGAAGGGGAGGAGACAGGTTAAAGAAGGATTTTAAGCCTTGAGACAACTGAGACATGGATTGTGTGTGTGCCATTCAGAGGGTGAATAGGCAAAACAAAATATTTAAGTGCCTTTGAACGGGGTATGGTAG